AGAAACAACGCATATACACTGCCTATTGTAAAACACCAAAAACCATTGCGTTGTAAGTTTTTCACAGTACGGTTTAGTTTATTGTGGAATAAGTTGCCATTGCCTATCCGTAACTGTGACACTATAATCAAGTTCAAAAGACTAATAGCACTATAACTTGACAACAAAGAGCTTCACCAACTATACCCTGAACTTCTGCCTCCAATGAGGCATTTTATTATGGACCGCTTAATATTCAGACCGACCATGAATATAATGGACCTCAATTGTGATTAATATGAACATAACCAAATGATAGAACACTTTTTTTACTCTCTCCCGATATTCATTGCTTATTAATTATGCCCCCACGCTCCTAATACTCACTTTCAGATTCAGAATCTTTCTGATGCTTAAAATCGTATTATTCTACTTGGGAGTCATGTCCTTTTTTCTATTATGCGTAGACAGATTACTCACTAATCTCATCGAAGCTGATCACCTATGGCCGACCACAAGAGGCTCATAATGTTCCAAATTCTTGTGGGTTGCTCAATGTTTTGTCTTCTTATTTCGAAAACTTTACAATTCTAAACTCTTGCATATTACTTCATTTGTTATCTATTCTTACCATCTCTAAACCACATATAAACTGACCTGTGTTGTTTCAAACTTTTACCACTAGTTATCTTCATTGCAGTGAGATATACTAAATAGATATCTAACCCATAATACAGAAGTTCCAACCATCTGATCTGATTTGCTAGTAACATGGAACTATTAGAGACGATGTATTCCAATAAGTAGCTTAGATTAAGGTAATATTCATACACACCACAAACGTAAGAGGGCCTAACACCCCAAAAGAAGGGCGAGTGGCGTTACTGATCAGCAAACCTGATGTTGGGGAGATAACGTCGATACACCCATGTCTGTAAGGCAGAACATTCCGTTAAATTACTGCTTCTTATGGTCACGTAGGATGCCACGAACCAATGGAATGTAGTGTGCTTATGTTCATGTCTATAATTATTACTGTTATTAATATCAATATTGTTCCTCCGACACATTAAATATCCTTTTCATCTCTTCTTATCCTTCTAAACATATTTAATTCCTGATTGTCCTTTGGAATTAATTGTGACTTTCATAGCATCATTCCTAATTATTGTTGCACAAATGTTTACACTAATATCCGGTTTCACTCCCTATATTATTACATAAATCTACATGTATTTACACGAGTGCGCTAAACGATTTGTTTTATTTTATTTATTTTACTTTTCTTAATTGTTGGTTTACTTCAGAGGTCGATATTCATATACAATTATCATTAGCATGGTTGAGCCCTTTCACCAGGTGTTCATTTCTTTTCTTTCCCTTTTTCCTTCTAAATAAATATTATTCTTGTGATTACGAAGTTTGTAATTAAGACAGCAACTTGTGTTACATTTAAATTATTAAGTTGACGATACATAAGTAGTCGTTTATTCTTGTTCTGTGTTCATAAACATACCTATTAAACTATTTGCGTATTTCACGTCTCCTTTATTTCTAGCCCCTTATTTTCTTCCTTTCCTTCTTTAAACCCAATTCAATATTCTTCTCAGTTACACAAAACCTGATTTATTAGTATTATTCTATTATTATTAATCTTTTTTTCAAATATGGCAAATATAATGCTAACATTATTGAAACTTGTGTATTATTGCACTTTTGAAGAAACCCGAAATGGTTTCTTCACAACACCTATGTACCCATAAGATGTTTGTGAATAATAATAATAATAATAATAATAATAATAATAATAATAATAATAATAATAATAATAATAATAATAATAATGAGGTAACTTATCATACGAAATACCTCTTCGAATTGTGTTTGTGACGTAGAATTTGTTTCACTTCCTACAGAGCAGTCCTATTACAAGCACATATAGACAATTTGCTGAAAACGAAGCCTGCTCATGACCCCGTAAAATGAATAAAAATAAAAGTGAGCTGAAATAGCTTCGACAAAAACGGAAGATAGCCATTTGTGTATAAACATACCATTTTGATTACTATATTTCAGAACTTCATATAATCCTATTCTTTCAGTTTCTTTTTATACCACCTTTATTTATACAGTTCTTTGTCCATCAATACTAGATTTACGTTTGTTTTCTTTAACCTACTACAATGCTCTTGCTTAAAAAGTGCCTTAATAATAGAAAATTAGACTAAGTAGTCACAATTTCACTATTTAACCACAAATGACTCAACTTCAATATGCATGAACACTGTATGCTCTGTTTCTCGTCTTTTCTTTTTCTTGCTCTCCTTTTCAGCCCTCTCAAGAAATGCCACCGACAACGCATATAGAGCGGGTGAATTCGTTCTGCTCCGTCATTAATGCCCAAGATGTTTCAGAGGGATATAAGATCACGGTTTATAGAAGCTCTAAATTTACTCACGATCATAAGTTGCACGTCGCAACGCAACCTCTATAGGGCGCGCTAACCTTGATATTGACAGTACGGATCTCACCAATAATTTTTATATTCATGAGTGGGAAGATTTACCCCCCCCCCAAAGTTTATGATCAGTGTGTCTTATGAAATATCAAGTTAACTGAGTAACTCATCATAGTGAAGACTGTATCTTCTATAACAATTTGACGTTGCCTGTAAATTCGCATGCTTCATGTAACAAACTGTTATTTGAGAATAAATCCTTGTCATTACTATTGTTGTTATTTGAATGCGAAGCATCGTACAGTCCGTTGGTCCGGCGGTTCGTTTGAGTACTTTGCTAAGAATTCTGGATGTTTTTGGGTTCATAACCAAAGGTGCATGATATTTTTGTTTTAGATTCTAAATGTTGGTCTGAAGCACGAGATATATAGTAAGCAAACCTGTAGGCCAATGCATGAAGTAGTTCGTAGGTAAGTATTGGGTATTCTAAAGGGAGTATAAGATGTTTTAGAGCTTGAAAAGTGTAATGAAAATATCCTTACTAAGTTAATGATATGTTGTTTTTCAATTATTTGAAATCGGACGGATTATAGATGAGCAGAATATGACCTATGTGTTCAAAATCTCTTCTTAACCAGTGATCACAAGGCAAATAAGACCAGAATTAGAGTGTGACGAAATGTAAAGGTATAATTGAACCATAGGTTGAGGTGTCTTCGCGTATGGAATTTCAACTGTATGGTCATAGAATAAGATGCATACCATGGCTTGTCCGACTAGGACCTGGTAGGGATGCACAATCAAGCACCTGAGTCTAATAATATGTTCAGCAAACTAATAAGGTCAGAATCAGTATTCAAGACACACAGGGGTATTTGTTTACAACTGAAGGACTACTTTTTATAGGTTTTTCAACGTATACCTGATGGAAAGCAGAAGCTCGCTATTTATAACCCACAAGAATGCATTGGCATAAACTGCAGCATGTTCGTAAACCAAAAACAACTAACAGCCGCGTACGAAGTGGTTTCATTACGATCATAATCAGTCACTTATGCTGATGATGGATATTGTCTGGTGTTGTTTATCCTCTTGACTTGACAGGTACTTGGATATGATAATATCACAGCGAGACGCTGCCAGTGTCTGTCGTACATTGATACTATCGATAACTCTAAGTGTTTGAGTGCACTCACTTCCATTCCCTAAGCACCCATTATTCCGTCGGCTTGGAGAAGTCATACTGATACAGCAGAGAAGTTTCGAAAAAGTTCCCTAGACTAGTGAAACTTACAGACCTCAGTTACTTGGCGATTATATCGTAACCTGGTGGGACATTCTGCCGTCATATAAAATGATGGGATCAATACAATTGTGCTTGTTTGGTTGTCTTCCCGATCCAAGTGACGTTCACCCTTCTAAAGACTTTGTTAATGATCAGAAAACCACGATCATGGATATACTTGTTTTGATAAATGTATGGTGAGTTCATAAACATATAAAATACTTCATAGTGCATGATACATGCATGTAACATCTGCACTGTCAGAACATAATTTAATTCTGTCATTGAATTTACTGTAGTGTTAACTGTCGTAACTAGGCAGGGTGCAAAATTGAAAATCAAATACTTTATGAAACGATCAGACTTAAAATTCATTGCTGCAAATGTTGAGTGTAAGTAAACGTCTTGTATCACTACATAACATTGTTTATAAAGATGTATGAATAACGCAAACCTGTACATCGTTGAATAATAACTCCAGCAGTGATGTAAATTGAGGCAGGCTATTTTATGATTACTCCGTACACAAGGTTTATGATATAAAGTGATAAGAATGCCACTATTTAAATCAATATTTTATCTATTAACTCATTATAAATTTCCGCTAAGGTGATAGGCGTGAACTTGGTTCAATCTGACGTTTCTAAATCAATAGCTCCTTTCATAAGCAATGTTTGACATGACAAACGTGACCACTTATTCTGTGTGGCAATTATATTTTATTCAGGAGAACCATATATAGTGTGTGCTTTTACATTAAATCTATGTATTCTTTCATGTACTTCATGAACTTCAACGGAGCCTCCAGAGGCCCAAAAGGAGCCGAAGGGTTCTAGCCAATCAGAGTATGATGGAACGTTCTAGAATTCCAACGTGGCGTGCTACTATTGGTTGGTAGCATAATATGTCGTTAACGGATTGGCTGGAATATGATGTTGATTCAACAGACGCCAACATCTATAAATACCTATGATTTTCTGTACAAAAATGAACCTTGGGATAAAGTATTTTCTCTCATACTTGTGTCTTCTCTCTGGTGTTCAAGTCGCTGTATAGTTCTAGCGTGTGGGTCATCGGAATAGCTTAGGAAATAAATATAGCGTTCTATCGACAAGACTTATCAAGATATACGAAATGTGGGCAGTAAAAATTTTGATTTACTAAAAACGCTTAAATCAAGTGATTAAGCGATATTTATCACTGATTTATATCATTTTTTGATTAGAAATATCATAATAGAAACATGAATGACTGATATTAGAATTATTAAATCTACTGGATGTAAAGTGACTTTTAGATATCAATGTATAACTATGGGTTATACTGTTTGCAAGTTTAATAACGTGACTTCCGATTGCGAACTTTGCATAGAAACCTTTTGTCCTCAGACGTAAAAAAAACATATCTTACTAATCAGTTCCTTTGTCTTTTAGCATCAGTTCACCTAGAGGAAACTTTTATCTATAATTTTATTTTAGTGAATAATCGTCAGTTGTATATTCTACATATATTCTGATAATTGATCGTACTACGATAAATAGCTTTCATAATATTTCTCCTGTATAACATATTGCCCAAAACGAAATAATTTAGATTGACATCCTGTTCAAAATTAGCAAATACGTTTAGTTTTTGGTTTCATTGCAAATCGAGTTCAGTTTATATAACAATATCAAACAAGACAGAGAAAGTTGCTTTGATTAGGAGAATCAAACGAATGTTCACCAAAGCTATTGATAAAATTAAGTGACTCCTACTTTTTTATGATGATATGGTAACAGACATATATCACCAAGTCACATTTACCCAGTCATAAAGGTTGTAAGTATACTATCTAACATGTTTTCTCAAAATGAACAACAGCTGCAACAAACAAATAACTTAAGTAACAAGATATTACTACTAATAAATAAAATTTCCCGATATTGTTATGATAGAAACATACTTTCTTGTCATTAATTGGGACAGGATCAGAAGGATTATATGGAATACGCGACATATCAAATGGAAATCGACTTTCGTCCAATGGAGCATCACGTAAATACAAAAGGTTACGATCTAAACGTTTCTCTAGTAGTAATACTTCAATTGACTGAATAGTTGGATTATATAATTCATACTGAATTTCAACAGCTAAAACAGTAGATAATGAAAAAGTGGCTTGATTGTTAGTTAAAACAGAGTATAATACTTTAATGTGTACGAACGAATAGGATTCATTGAAATCTCAAGTTATCAAACTTATTAAATATGTGATATAGCTGGTATTATTAAGGGAAAATATAAAACAAACTGTCAAAAAAGAACCATACACAATCCGTAGGGGGTTTCAGGTTAATAGTGTTTATAAGTACTGATTATAATAATGTAAGAGCATATATTGCTGACTAAAATATCTTTTCGGAATGACAGCTATATGAATTAAGTTTTATAGTCACTGGATAAGAATGGTTGTAGCATTATTCTTTGCTGTGATACCACTTTGTGACATATACATTACTAAAATATAGGAAAACGAGATAAAACACAAGACATGAGTTACTTATAGAGAACAAGATATGCGATCACGTGGAAGTAATGGAGGTATATTTTTAGATTAAGCGAGAGATTGTAGCTTTCTACATACCCATTGTTACAAACCAACCATGGGAAATACAAATAAAGGATTTGTTTTAAGGAAGAACAAACCTGTTTTCTCAATCACGTTGCGAAGAGTAAATTTTGTCCATAAACCCTCGTTAAAGCGTTCTATGCAAATACCCAAGAATCGATGTGATTGATTTGGCGCAAATTTATCAGCAGTCCTTACGGCAACAACTGACCCTTTTAAAACAACATATATTAGAAAAATACTGAAATCAAACATTTTAAAGAATTGAAATTATGTATAAAGCTGGAAAAAAAGGTCAAGAAATAAGCTAACGTGTAAGTTGAATAGGCTAGTACTGAACTGTTTCGTACAGTTTAGACAAACTGTGTTTAAATACATGATTATAGTATTGTTTTGTAGCTATATTTATAATATTGGTTTCGATTCACTAGTTAATGTTCTATTTTCACAACTCAAAATGGAAAGTTGGTTAACCACAAAAGTCAGTTTCCCAACTCCACAGTCCTATTAGTTCATTTGTAACCTTTTTTGTGGTTAGTATATTTAAGTGTATAAATTAGTAGGTCGTAAACGAGTCTAATCATTACATAAATACTTCACAATCGATCAACGTGAACGTTAACTAAATCTTACACGTAGGGACACTTAACAATATAACAAGTATCAAGACCAGTCAATTTTAATCGTACACTCACGGTTTGAAACATTGTAGACAAAAGATTTTACAACTACCTGGTACAGATCAACAGGACTACAAATCATGGATGTGTTCTTTATGAAACATAAGATACGATGACAATTACAAAGTTGATTTCTTTAAAACACTAGTAAATAAGAACAGTTCGTACAACAAAACCTATTGCGAAATTCCGTATTATTTAAAAATTCCTGATTATTTTTCCAGAATACTTTACTGTAATCACTAAAAATAGACACATTTACAAAAGACAAATTTATGTAAAAGGTAATTCTGTAGGTTTGCTGTATGATTTAGTGGCAAAACCATTCCCCAAAATACTTTAAATGGATCGAAGCTCAAGTCTATGGCTTTATGATTGAAAGTAAAGACATTAAACTATTGAGCTACATACCTACAGGTTAATGAGCTACGAAAATAATAGAAACGAATGAAGACGTTGAGAATATGAGACTTTTTCATATGGCTTCCATAATGGCGAATCAGAATATTGTACATCAAGAAACTCGTCAGCGAAAGGGTTAAGTTTATCCATAAACCACAGATGACAAAAGAGATTGGGTTAATCCTATACTAGAAATAGTTATTCAGTGGTACATGGATTCAGCCAAGCGAATAAAACAATTCTCCGGATTAATATGAAGACAGATGTGTAAGTATACTCTATATAAAACATTTCTATTTCACTATTAGTATAAAAACATTGAAATTCACCAAATCTAAAACACATTTTATTCTATTTACAGAAGTGCTTGATGTTTTATTTTATTATTTTATTTGAACACATAAATATTGGAACAAGAGTGCGCCAAATATATATGCGTCACACAAAACAATGAGAACTTAAAGAGAAGGAAAAAAAGGTGAGGAGCGTAGAAAAGAGAACAATAACGAAGAGATTGGTGTAAGGTAGTGTAATAATAATAAGAATAATAACGGGGGAACGGAAGGGTACAATCAGGAGAAATCTATCAGTTAATGAAGATACAACCACTTTTTATGAAGAAAGTAAAAGATTACAGCAGGATCGCCACTGGCTTCCATTCTGAGTCATATCTGATAACGTCTCTAGCCACTGTGTTGCACCACTTCTCGGACCGCAACCAGGGAGTCGTGAAGGACCAACACAAGCCGGCCCTTTGCAGCTTTCTTTCATACCACGACACCATGTCATGCACTGACCACCTCTCCGCCTCTTCCAACCAGTCCGAGCGTCGGCAAACAATGCACGACGTGGAATTCTCTGGGACGACATTTGTAGAACACGTCCAAGCCACCGAAGTCGGTCTTTCAAGATGGTGACACCAATTGCATTATCGTCTCTCTGCCCGAACACACGATGCCGAGCCTCTGCACTACTAACATGGTGTTGCCACTGGATGTCAGCAACCCTTCGGAGACAACGATGATCAAACACAGACAGTCGTCTAACGTCCTCAACTCGGAGAGGCCAGGTTTCGCAAGCATAGAGCAAAACTGCTCTCACCGACGCGTTGTAGATCCGACCCTTTACAGCCAGACTAACAACACGAAGGCGCCAAAGATGGCCCAGATTGGCATAAGCCACTCTGGCTTTCACTATACGTGCATTAATCTCATCAATCACGTCACCACTAGCAATTATGCAGCTACCCAGATACACGAACTTCTCGACTACTTCTATCTGCTCACCATCCAGGCTGAGTACACGATTAGGATCCTGCAAGTCTTGTAGAAGTACTTTGCACTTCGAAGGTGCAAAGCACATATCATACCTACGGACATTGATTGTCAACTGATTAAGTGCGGATTGCATGCCTTGGGCATTATCGCACAGTAAGACAATATCGTCCGCATACTCAAGGTCGAGAAGTCTTTCTCCAGGCAACAGATCCACACCATCATTACTTACATCCATCAGAGCTGTTTCCAGAATGTCATTGATGACAAAGTTGAAGAGGAATGGTGAGATTGGGCAACCCTGTCTAACCCCACTGCTCGAATGGAACAATGGAGAGAGGTGATTGTATGCCCTCACTCTGCATGAGGTGTTTGTATATAGGGCTTTTAGGATGTTAATAAACTTCTCAAGCACACCCTTCTTCAATAGACAATCCCAGAGAACAGTCCTGTCCAGTGAATCGAAGGCAGCACTAATGTCAAGAAACACTACGATTGTTGGCCTGTGATAAGTATGACGGTGTTCTAACATTTGACGGAGGGTGAAGATATGATCAATACATCCTCGACCAGAACGAAAACCAACCTGCTCCTCGCGAGTCAATCTTTCTCGGGTTTTGAACAACCTACGAAGTATGACGGAAGCTAATAGCTTGGACGCAATCGGAAGTAGACTTATCCCCGGACATCTCGATCATTACGCAAGCTTTGCCCAATTTCCTTACGTAACATCCTTCGTTTGTGGCCAAACTCACGGCCACCCGGAGTAGACCGACGGGCTTCAATGAATTGTAAGGAGCCTGAAGAAACCCAGTGCTTATAAACGGGACGTTTTGCGAACCCACAACTGACTGTACCCGCCATTTTCATGGCGTCATGCAATTGCAACCAATGCTCATCTATACTATTCGGTGGAATGGTAGCTAGCCTAGAAATTAGCTCGGTTCGATACTTACTTGCAACAGAAGTTGCAACCAGCTTGCTAATATCAATTTGTTGGTGGCGGTCACCTCGTTGTCCACTGAAGAGTAAGGTAAGATTGGCGCAGACCAAGGCATGGTCAGAGTCCAGATAGGTACTACAAAAGGAGCGACAGTCTTGTACACAACCACGCCAGCGGTAGCTGATCGCGATGTGATCAATCTGAGTCCAGGTTTGGGATGCAGAGAGAGGACGCCAGGCGGCATATCGGCGATGACTGTGCCGAAAGTTAGTGCTAGCCAGAAACAGGTTGTGGTCTGTGCACAGTCACAGTAGACGGTTCCCGTTATCTGTCCGGCGACCAACAAGTCCCCATCGGCCAACTAAACGACTCTCTTCTGTGCCTAGACGCCGACCTGAGTATTCAAGTCTCCGGCTAGTACTACAATATCTGTCGAACGCACTTTCTGGAGAAGAACAGATAACTGGTGGTAAAACTCATCCTTGATTGCATCCGGGCTGCAATCTCGGAGCGTAGTCGGAGATGGTGAAAACACATCGTTTCTCACTTTGATGGAACTTTCTAATCTAACAGCACATAAACAACCGACAGGTAATGGGGATCCAATCAATTAGTGCTGCCTCAGCTCTAGCGCTTAGTGCGACACCAACGTCAGCAAGACCAGACGAAGATGCCACAGGGTCCCCGGATAAACGCACATGAAACAAGCCTTTTGAAGCGACAGATCGAGAGCAAATTTGTAGTACTTCACCACAGTCTTGAATACGGGTCTTGGATAGACAAAAACGTCGATATTAAAACTTTCCAACAACATAACCAGCCCTATCTGTTTTCTGACCTGCATAAGTGTGCGAACGTTGAAGGCAGCCAGTTTGAATGGTGCACGTGGTTCCAGAAAAGCTGCTTCAGTACTCATATTCGGTGGTTGCATACAATTTTCAACCGGACAGTGACTCGAGAACGTTTAGATACAGTCGAATTTTCACCAAAGACGAGGCGCTATATAAGTATAAAAGAGAGTGAATAATGTGTTAAATAATAATAACAGTAATAATAATAATTATAGTAATCATTTGATTGTTAGTTGAAGCGAGTTAAGTAGTTTCCATGATTATGGGCAGTTCATCATATTTGTGTGTGGGGTGTGATACTGCCCGTGTGCCCAGACCGAAACAGGTGGTTATCTTATTGAGCCACACCCCGAGCCTTTGACCCAAAGGTCTAGCCCACAAGGCAGTGTAGCATCGTAAGGAGATGCGATCCCATGGCAGAGGCTGTTTACGCGTGGCCATGTGAGAGTATTTCGAGAGAAAGAGCGGACTTTACTTAAGTTCACCAAAGTTCACCCCAAAGTCTTCTAGTAGTGATAACTTGGATTCTGCGAAACTAGTTCATTCAGCTGCGAAAGTGGTGCACAGCTCCCCCCAATGATGCGTGGTTTTTTCTGAGCATGGTGACAAAACCATGTCGTAGTAAATACTGATTTATGATGTGTCTGTTATAGGGTTCACGAATAAGTTTCCGTAAACAGAATCCCCAATCACTGACCAAATGATGAACAAAGTTATAATGCATATTGTCGAGTAATATCTAAATTGTACTTACCAATTTTTTTGTTAATACCAAATGTCTAGGCGAAATACTAGAAGGGTTAGAAAGTGAAGAGCGTTGTTTACACGAAATAAGTAACTTCTAGGTTATTTGTCACCTGCTAGTGAAGTCATAAATATACTGAAATCAGAGTTTTAAGGCAATATGAGCTGTCAACCCATTAACATTTCATTTACATCATAAACTTGGTGTAAGCAAATGTCATAAGACTGTGAAGCGTTCACAGTTATATGATGGGGATTTGAAGCTCCCAGTTCTTGATACGACACAACCCTAAAGTCAAATAACAACTATTAATGAGTTAATTCTTGAATTCCTACTCCATTACAGACTGATTCGGCATAA